TCAACTAAGCCTTCATTGTTATTCATAAATACAGATTATATCAACATATTCATTTGCACATCTCTTTAACTATTAATTACTTGTACAATCACATTGTAGCACTTGAAAAGTCTCATAAAATATTCAAAAAACTAAAACTAAATTAGCAAACAATCGTTTTCAATCACTTCATCATCACTCTATAGAGTTATAAGTTCATTAATTTATTATTATATGAGGACCAGAAATAAGGCATGGCATTTAGGAATTCGACAATGTAATGTGTTTAAAGTCGATAGATATTTGTTGAGTCAGTCAGTCAGATGACGTAGGCTTGTTCATTTACACTTTATGAAACTGATATATCAAATGCTGCTTGTCAAAAATGGTTACATTCATAATGTCTAGATATAGTTCAGGTTTCTTATTACGGCGATTACCAATCTTCACACATGACTGATGAAACACACACTAGTTTTTATTACGACCAAAACAATAAATTTAAAATACAGAACTACAAATAATTCACAAGTGAAAACAATAAATCGTGTTTCAATGGACTTTTAAAATGAACCGAATTGAAATCCAACGTTGTCTAATTCTCATTAAGAATGACCATTTACAAAATAATCGTTTACTAAATATTAAGTGCCTACTTTCATATACTGTCAAAGTCGGTTGATTAAATGATGGTCTACGGTTGGTTCACCTAAATTATACATATTACAACCAGTAATTTATCATGATGATTCATTGATATGTTGATTTGTTTCTCCGATTAACAGACCATGTGTTATTAGAAAACTTATGTACAGACTTCGGTAATAATTTGTTTATTAATTGGGTATTCAACATTAGACTACCGACTTAATTCAGTAATCACTATTATCAAATATTCAAACCGGTTTTCAGTTGCATTTTTCCAAAAATTTTCTAGTCATGTGATACATATCATTATTCGTGACATGAAATTACTTGACCGGCAATCAAACATTCATTCCAATACACATTCAGTAACAGTAGGATTGCACTGAAGTTGGTGTTTTTTTCTTCAAAAGTCTAAATTTCTTACAAGACTAAGATTACACAAAAGGAATCATTCATTATCCTTAAATTTCAAATGTTAAAATGCACATTCAGACGATCAATCACAGCACTTGATGCGATTTTGATTTCAACTAATCAGATTACAAAGATGAACAGTTTACGACCAATTACAAAATTATAAAAGGTGACAAAATGTTTTTTCTTTATCACTTGAGCACACACTTGCAAAACAACTTCATCAATCAACGAAACAAAAATGTTTCATTCACACCCTACAATTTTTTTTAGAAATGGATGGTAGGCAATTTTAATTGCCGTGGGCTTCATGTCAACCCTATTTAAATATCTATTCATTTTACACAAAAATCAAGACTTTAAATGACAGTATTCTCACTACTTTTGTGTTTCTTATACCATGCTACATCACTGATATTTTCACACAATAACACACTGTAAATTACTAACGTACATGTCATACGCATCTCCAAATTTTGTGTTGGTGATTATTGTAAATATTATCTTCGCATACAAGTGTATAAAATATTCTTACACTTTCCTTGTTGTTATTATAACCAGGGTTACCTCCGAACACCCTGTGAAGGGAGCTATGTGGAGATAGGCCTGACAAGCCTATTTTATAAAAAGTTTTTAATGTTATTTGTATTTATTTTGTCAATTTCTCACTGTATGTACATTTGTCATTAAATGACTGTACGTGTTGTTTATGTGAATGACTTCGAACACACTTTCCGTTGTATAACTACATAGCGTGACATACTGTGGCTTGGCAACAATTACATTGCTACACACACATCCCTCGTTCTATTTTCGTTCGTGATTGAGTTAACTGAAATCTAAATCAAATATTACTTACATTTATAGAATGTGAGTGGGAATATACCATATCCTACATTGGATTACACTACTGGGGAGTTCGTCAACACGATTGGAATTACCAAGCATTTATAATTGTGAATTTACTGTACCAGACTAAAGCTGAACACGATTCCATTTGGTGAACTTAAGTAAAGTCCCAATGCTTTTTGTATTTGTAACGGTTAACTGGTATATAATAATATTACTACTGATGTTTAATAACTTTGTTGATACTTTTCAAGTTTAGACATTGTCTGGTCCACCACAATACTAGCAGTATGTTTGCAGTTTACATTTGCAGAATACACATTTAATGATATCATCAATTTTGAGACATTTTATTTGCTTATCTAATACAAAGGAAATGAATATTCCACTTGTTGAAATCATGAGTCAATTGAAGCTAGACCACCATGTGATTGCGTGGTAGGTGCTTTAGCCTACTAAAGTAAGCCACTCTCTGACTCTTTATTTTAAGCTGTTCTAAATTGGGTAAATCTCATAAGTTGAACTGTCAGTGTTGAATAAACCTACAATTGGTCATTCGATAAACTACCAATGCGTATAAATGTCCATGAAAGTGGTAGTCAATAGACTTTGTTTGAAAAAACGGTAAGGGAAAGATGATAAAATATCAAATTATAGTATCTAGTTGTTTAATTGTAATTGGTATAAATAAAAGAAAAAAAACTGAGAACTTACCTGATATCCATTAAGTGGTTATTTTAACGTTATTATATAATATACCTTTCGGGTTACAAAAACATTCTTTGTCCGAACATTAGACAACACTTTATACTTTGTGATAATAATTCCTCGATCATCTATGTGGTTTGCGCTACTTATATTGACATAAGTAGTATATGATGTTAGTCGTGAACAGAATATCTGGCAGCAGAGAGACAAGAGGATGGAACAGTAAAGAATGGAAGCAGAATGCGATTTGTATGAAAATGCAAGAACAATGAAGTGTGAGTCATTTTGAGACGATTGATGGACATTTTGCAAATTACGTATTTACTATTTGATTGCTAGATTTTATTAACAAATACGGTGATTTTGTGTTAAATACACTCGATTGTCATCGCTGATATTATGTTCACTATATCTATACAATTTGATGATTCCTGTGAATGTTTTGATGATTTATGGACTTGAATCAATTGAGAAAGTGTTATACGAAGTAGAAGGTTTTGTATTAGTCGTAAATTTCATCACATCTGTAGTAAAAGATGAAGTTTGTTGTTAAAATTGCTCAATGACTTTCGGTTCATTGATATGATGAAACTATTCAATAGTGAGGCGTGAACATACCTACTCTACATTGTAAGAGGATCACATTTAGATATGTAATTAATTGATGAAGACTCCAGATCCTAGATTTAATGCTTGATGAGATGATTATTTACGTGTTACATTTAAACATGAGATCGCTATTCATCGTTTTCTGATCTTAACCGAATGTCTAACCAATATGATGATATAAACAAGAAAATGTAACTTATAAATCTAACAATAAAACAAAATAAAATAATTGAATTCATGAGTTAATTGGATCTCGATCATCATAGAAAATCTTGAATCACTATATGACCGTCTCGTCCTAATATGTTGACTCTTCAGTAGTGTGAATCAACGATCCTGACTTGTGAGATTCATTTTAGATAGATTGACCAGGAATGAATTTATCATTATAATTGTCAGTTGTGTCATTTCATTACTGGCTATTTTTACATTCCTTATTGGTTTATTATATATTCAAAGAAAATGTAAATATATTGAATAGTTTAATCATCATTATTTACGTAAAAAATGTAAATTTACATTGACAAGAACAACCTACAATAGAAATGAAAGAAGGTAATGAGAATAAACTCTTTTTTGGTGTGTTTGTGTGTGTGTATGTGGTGTAGATAACAATGAATGTTCACATTTTTTGCTTGCATTTTTCCATTAGTGCTTAGGACTGTAATTGATTAGTCTCTTGTTGATATATGTGCATCCTGTGAGGAGTGTTTCAATATTGCCTTAAATCACAAGCTTTATAATCAAAGATGGATATCAGGTGATTTTAATATTCATCCCATTGCACAAACAGGCGGCTATCAGGATTCAGTACCTGATTTTTACAACGCGATAGAGTTTCAAGCGAACGGTACTGGGTTCGAGTCCCAAACTAAACATCGATTCATGCAGGTACATTTAGCTGACGAATCTCATATAGGAAGAAACACACATCCTGGATTCCGCTGATAGCTATTATCCATCTTCGCCTATCAAATTATAGTGCGAATTTTTGGTTTTTATAATTGAACACTATTTATTCTAAAAATAATTCTGTTTTCAAAAGGAACTAGAATATCTGAAAGCTGAGCAAGAATTAGTAAACCATAAAGTTTAAATATGCAGATCATTAAAGGAACTTCACCAATGGTGATGAAATCACGTCGCACTTTGTCGAAAATCGATAGAGTCTAATACTACTATTAGCGAATATTTTAATCACACTGTTGTTGATATTTAAGACTGATTTTTATTCAATCTTTGTTGATATATAATAATCCTGTCGGGATTTTTTCGATAAAGTCATTGCGAAAAATGTTTTGTAAAAGCTAATTACAAATAGTAGCTGAGTCTATGTGTACTATTTCAGAAATCGTCAGTTGTATGTACATGTATTTCATAGAAAGTATTATCAATCAATAAGTAAGTGACAATCTAAACTCAGACATTCTATAATTAAAGCATTGATGTTTAGAGAAAAAGATAATTGGTTCAAGTTCAGATGTCAATAACTGCTTTAGGATGCGAGTGCATTCAGCTAGCGAATCCTAAACTGGACGAGACAGGAGTCTTAAATTTCACTAAGTTGTATAATGCTGATCACTCCTAGATAAACGCTGTGATACATGATTTAGTTCCTAAATGTTGGACAGTAAATACTCTCCTCTGTGAAGTTTTGTAGTATTATAAAACAACTGTTCAGTACAACCTAATTTCTAGTACTTGCTTGACGAACGTCATTCTATAAAGTGTACGTTAGCAAATGAATGTCATGTATAAAATGTATATCATTTCGTTGTTTCTCTTTTTAATAGATACAATCATAAGATAGTTGGATACTTTACAGCAGTGGACTTGTCAGAAGTTATACAAAATTCACTTATTGATGATGATCATTTCAATGTAATTAATAATAAAGAAATGAATCAATCACTCAATCAACCTTATTTGGTAGGTATTTTAAAGAAATATTTAAATCTACTTATATTATATAATTAGTTGTGAAATTAATTATAAAACAAATGGTATTGTATAATATAAAGCAGATTTGAAGTAAAATGATTAAGAATCTCAAATTTTTGATTGATTAGGCAAACATTTTACACATATATCAGGAACTAACTGATTTAAATTCATCACCAATGGAATGGACGGTTTTGTGGACATTTAATACAAGAATTTCGAACTATCAATCTGTAATGAACGGGAACATAGTCGAGGATAACCAAATGGCTATTAAAACAGCATTACAGAATCTCTTATTAAAATCTGAAAACCACACTGTAAATACTTCAGTTACAAAATGCCAATCGACTATTTCACACTAGATTTTTCCTTTTTCTTTCTACAATAATTATCCTCTGTCCTCGTTCACTTCTCTTCCATGTGCATATCCTTCTGTCGGCAGACATTTCACTTCTGATTGATCATACTTATATTTGTCGACACCACTAGCACACACCACAAATCAAGCCTTAGTTGTAATGCTGAAGTATTTAATTGGTATGCTAAACACGAAGAATTCTGAAGTGTGATAACAATTATTATTGTTAAATATGACGTGAATAAGTGATACTCTATTCATCTTAATAATTAAGTGGTTGAAATATATTCAGCTTTAATTAGATGTAAACAATAAATAGTTGACAATCTGTTTTCTATTTTCTTTTGAACGGTATTTAGAATGATCGCCCAGTTCCTATGAATCTACTTGATGATTACGTAACAAGTAATCCTATTTTACATGGACAACAATCAACTTTACATGAGAAATTTGGTTGTGAATGTAAAAGTAAGTGATCACTGAATATTTAACACATGATTATATTCTAATGATTGGTGATTTTGATGAAATGGTATTTTGTATTTTTCAGTGAAAATAAGTATAGACTTATGTATAGAATGAAAAGTAACATTGTTCACTATGGATTATCGGAGCAATAGAGTCTCCCTATGTTCGCTGTGTGACAGTTTCTCTTTAATGCTATTGCACAATAGTTGTGCAATGAAGCCAATTTATCGTAGTGCGATAGATAAAACTTTGATTCCGAACCTAAGGGTATAAAAGGTTTTCCTTCTATGCGTGACCCTGATATTCCAAGTTCGATCTGTGGTGGTTTCAAGGAAAAGTGTTGTTGAGGAATTCCATACAACGGGAAAATCGGCATCTAAAACTTCCTGATGTAATTAGTTATCTGACTATTATTAGTTTTTAACATAAACCACGAAATTCCTTGATGTTATATTTTACTGAAGAAAGTATTTACGTCGAAAAAAAACACTTGACTGCTGATGTAGAAAACTAGATGGGAAACGTTTGATAACTTAGAAATGAGCACTCCTAGACAGATCGACTTCTACAGGTGTATCAATTGTCGATGTAGGAATTTCAAAAAGCCAATTGTTAAGAATTCTGAAAGGGTGAATGAAGAGCATTTAGAACTACTTCAGATTACGATTGAGTATAGAAACGAAAGACGCTAACTGTTGTTCATGATAATGTTCTGTAATAAATCATTATGATTTTATTTAAACATAAATCACGACGGTAAAAATGATCAAGAAGTTAATAAAGTTAATAATTACTCTAAATAGATGAATCGGAGATGGATTAACTGTTGATACATTGGTGTCAGTAGACTGATCTCCTCGTTTTACTAAGTATACAATTAAAACAACTACTATATTATCATTGTCCTTTCTTAAATTGAATTCAAAACAGACCTAACTATATGGAATATTTTGCATCTAATAAAGATTGTCAATGAGAATATGATTTATGGACGACTGTTGAGCAACATTAAAGTGACTTAAATCGTGTTAGTCTGTAACGGAATTAAATAAGTCGAATAACGAGAATGGACTTGTGAATACATATATTTTGTATATAAAGCAAATGGACTAAAGAAAAGAGAACGGACTGAGAGTGCAGATGGCTGGTAAGTTAATACCCATTTAACCAAGCGTTAATCATTATTTATACCTGCACAGAAGTCAGTTACAGACATGTGATGAGTAGTGGGATAAGAAATGTACACACACCTACGCGTTCATATAAAAACAGTCAAGATTGATAAGCGAATAAATGAAAAAGTCAGAATGTGATTCAAGTAGAACGAAAAGAATAGGATTTTCGGAAAGCTAAATTAAGGTATATGAGCTTAACATAATAGTCGACATAGCATTATCTTTATAAATGATTTCGTAAAGCAATAGACAGTCAATATAGCAATCCAGACTTAAATGACACTCCGAATGATTGTGAGGCAAGAGGTTCGAATTGATTAAATTCTTATCAAATTTCTCATGTTACAGCACCAGAGTCAGTCTGTCCTAATTACTCACATATTCCCGATACAGTAAAATTGTTTTGACATATGTATTGAAAATTTTGACCTTAATGTTGGTTGACAGTTGTTTTGACTACCAAATGTTCTTCATTTGTAAATATGATGCTCTCGCTTTGCCGATGCATGCCTTCACGTCTGCATCAAATCCACCCTGTTCATCAATGATGCTGTCCAGATTTGTGAAGGTATTTACACCTTTCAAGTCTTCACCGTCAAGTGTGATGCGATTACTGCATGCTGAACATTTGATTTGATATCAAGATTTGATTTTTCTGAAATATCTTCTTCAAATTTATTCGGAATTTCATTGGTGAGTGATGGATCATTAGAAAAATCAGCGTTAAGAAAATTTCCGCTTTTAACGCATTTGAAATTTGTATACTTTATATGGTCTAGTAGCAGTTGCTTCAGAGTTGCATAACGAGGAGAAATCGGCTTGTCAGGAAATGCCAATGTTTTTATTTAGCTGTATGCTTCTTTTCCGATGAATGAAAGGAAATGAGCCACAATAGTGACATCCTCAACAACATTCTTAGTTTTAGCCTGGATTTCCAACCTTTCCATGTAATTTTCAAAAGCATTGAAATCTGAATGCATATTCAACCGTTCTTCACAGGCTCCATTGGGTCGCAAATGTGAAAACTGGGAGTATTTCAAACATGTTACAAACTAAGAATCCAAGGAATAACGCAATAAAACTAAAAACAGCTAGATGGGCACGAATGAAAGCATTGTATTAGTAATTGGAAATCAAGCAGTCAAAAAGTACAAGAGAGTCATTAGTTCATAATAACTAGTTACTAATAAATAAGTTAAAATAGAATACCTGATTGATGAAATTACATCAGCATTTAACTACTAGACAAACAGGACATCAACAACTGTTCTTTCATCAATAAATATAAACACCTCTGTCCTACAAGATGTCATTTGTGTTTACAGTAACGTAGCAGTAAATTTTCATACAGCGAAATTCAGTGACATGCATTTGAATTATGCAAGGAGTATTGGTTTCTTCAAGAATGTGAGTAAAACATACTGACTTGTACCAGCTACTATGAAACCAGACTACACGATTTTCTGCCGACAGCCTGCAAACACCGAACATGGTCTAGCTCAATTAAATTATCTCCTTAATAAAATCATCTGAAACGATGAATCTGAAAATGGCGAGACAGTGCAAACCTGAGATTCCATTTAAATATTCATTTGCGAATGCTTCTTTCCAAAAGAGCTCATTTCAAAACTGTTGAAAAGTGAGAGCAAACTTCAGCAACAAATAACATGTCAAAATGTATTCAAGCTCACGTAAAATTTGATCGCTCATATAAAACCATGATACGTGATGTGGATTTAATAACCAAGATGATTCACCGAAGTCTCATAGATTAATATACATATGAAGAAATAACTAGTCGAATCTCAAAGAATCAGGATTATTAATGGGCGATCCATAGATTGATAAACTGAGAGCTAGATGATTTTGTGAGTAAACAACCACCAAACTCATCTGAAATTACACGGTGTTTATTCATAGCTGGAGCAAGACCTTCTATGAATTGGCTGTGAAGAGATTTGTTTTCACTTCATTTTGTTTATAAAAGTAGTGATCTTTTGGAAAATGCGAATTTCACTACTCTTTTTTCTGTACGTGTGACTGATTATCAGTCATATAAACAAGTTAATATTAGAAAGCGTTGTATTTTATTGTAAATAAGATTCATATTACGCCCACTATACATAATAGATGATATAGAATAATACCATATTATTTGATTAATGAGATGGCGTGAAGTGACTGACGACGACAAAGTATAATCATTGATATTTCTGTAAATAACTGAGGTTGTGGAGGCCCGTGATCTGACTCCAAATCAGATTGTAAGAGTGTTTGCTATCGCCTATTCTCGTATATCATCGTCGACTTAGATCGCGTTATCCAATAACGGAATTAAATAAGTCAAATAACGAGAATGGGATGTTGAATACATATATTTCGTATGTAAAGTGAATGTAATAGAACAGAGCAAAGTGACGCACAGGGAGGATGGCTGGGAAGCCAACTCCATTTTAGTCAAGAGTTACTCCATATTTATAGGCAGACAGAATGAAGCTACAGACATGTGATTAATGCGATAAGAAGGGCACACACATATACGCTCATATAAAAACAATCAAGACTGACAAGCGAATGATTGACAAGGTCAACATATGACTCAAGTAAAATGAATTAAATAGGATGTCCACAAGTTAGAATAAGGCAGATGGGCTTGCCATAATAACTGACACTACAAGGTCAACAGAAATATGTTTTTGTTAATTAAATGATCAGATAACTTACACTGAGATTAAAAAAGTAATAATATATTTTACTTTAGATTTTTCACAGAATGTAACAGAAATGATAGAATTTGGTGTAATGTTATAGTGGATCAAGGGAATTGGACAGAAATCCTAATTTTTCAAACCTTATTAATAAATTCACAGCATTCAAAAGCGATCGCATCAGTAGGCGAATTAGAGGAAGTTGATCAAACGAGATACATCTTTAAGTAGGAACATTTCAATTCCAAGTGCGTGCAACGGTTTTGGTAGTTGTGCTTTGCAGTATATTTTTGCAAGATGTCAATTTTCGTGAGATCAACACCACGCGCCGTTTTTACTTTATTTGTTATCTTCGATCAATCCGTCACTAAACATCATTCTCCGTTGTTGAATTTTCTTACGTTTCTCGATCTTTATATTGAAAGAATGATATTGTCTGGCAGTGTAATCCAGTGCACGCCTATCATCTCTTTTGGGACTCGTCAGAGTTGATGTTCACTCTTGAACTGGACCCTAGTACTGTTCGCTTCAAATGCCATCGTGTTATCCACTTGGTTGTACAATATGAAAAATTTAAATTTATTTTGTATTGCCTGTTTTAGTCTTCTTAATAAGTGACTGATCAACTACAGTATCAAAAATTAATGCTAAACTGGAAAATTATTTGGATTATGATACTGGATTTAATAATCACCCAGGGAAGGTATGTAACATTTCAAAAATCGATTGGGTTGAGGAACTGAAGGACACGTTACATACAATGATTAGTAACATGGTTTTACCTAAGATCGATATGATGTACTAAGATGGGCAACCGGGTCAGTATTACTGTTTCATTAGTCAGTTTAATAGACTTATAGGGTGTAAATTGACAGATAAGGGCCAATTGTTGTCGTATTTGTTATACTATCGTAAGGGAAAGGCCAGGATGGCTATTGAAGCTTGCATTTCATTGCCTATTCATTTGGGCTATGATAGAGCTAAACAGATTTTGTATGACCTGTTTGGTAAGGAACACCTTGTTGCTCACGATATGATTACTGAGTTACTTAACCACAAATCTGTTGAAAAATCAGACGATGGCTTAACTGACTTCGCAAATAAGCTACGTAATGTA